TAGATCCAAATAAACCAGCGGAATTTCCAAGTAGCAGCAGTAACATTGAAAATTTAAAATTAAAAGATAAAAAGAAAAACTTGTGCGATACACAAATGTTCAAACAACATCAAACTTATAAAGCGCTTATCCGTAGGTTAATATAAAGTTGGGCCTCGCCTATCTTTTCATGTGCTCTTGCTGCAGTTACTTGCATTTGTGCTTTGACTACTTGCAGTACCAAGGCACAATGCTTCAGCCAGCGGTCCACCAGGCGGCGAACCCATCCATGAGACAGGATTCGCCATTTGGGGTCTCAAAGCCCTCCATTTTCCGCTGCTAAGCCCATGTTGTCGAAAGCACACATTTGGCTGTTCTCATCGTCTTCTTCTTGATTGTTTCCACTCCCACCAGACATTGACAGTGTAAGAGAAGAGAGCGGTAGCTTCTCGTTGGAACAAAGAGGGCGTTTGCTCCCAATGCCGTCCATTTCGGCAACCTCTCTCTCTGCTGTTGACCATGCATCGATAAAGCTCCTTGTCTCTTGTGAATGTGTTTGGTTGAGATTCGAGGCTCCTCCCAAAGAGGCGAAACCAGGGCTGAACTGCTCGTTTAGATGCTGAGCTTGCAAATTGAGGCGATGGTCGTTATAATATTGCTGCTGGTGTTCACTCACATTTCGCCCATACTTTGTCCCTTGTGTCTGAAACTGCTGCCACTCTGGGCTCGAATTGCCAGCAAAAGGAACCGTAGTCTCCCCTTTTATGAACCACTCCAAGCACCTTCACGGGTAAACCATTAACCATGACTAATTTATTAGTAGTATAATAGTAACTTATAAAAGACAAAATTCCACATCATGCATTCATACTCATAGATAGTGATTACTGATTAGCGGATAAGAATAACAGATATACTAAGATGTAAGAAAATAACACGAAATAAAGATTTGGTTTCTCAGATTCAGAGCAGACAAATTATTGGGAATCGAAAGCAAAAGCCCACCTAGGCTGATCAAACGAAGATGACAATAAATGAGCATCGGAGATGAAATGAGGATTTTGACGCGGCTGCTTGTCAGATGCCATGTTAAGTGTATGTGGCTTGTGGTCATTGTTGTTAACGGAGTGGTTTGGCAATTCCACAGGCTTTCTTGAACGGGGACGGCTCTTATGAGAGTGACGCTCACAGTATTTCTGATCAGGAGCCACGTCTCTCGAGCACCTCCATTTCTTCCCATCTGTTCTTCTGCACCTCCATGGCTCTGGATCCGAACTATTTCCCGAAAACCCCAGTTCCAAAGATCCCTTTATCACTGTTAACACAACAAGAAAAAGCTAACAACTTGACACTGCATTGATAACATTGAACAAAAGGAGAAAAAAAATGAAAACATTACCATTTGAAGGATTTCTGGTGATGGGTATAAGGAGTTCGGAAGGGACAGGCTCAGAGACCATCATGTACTTGTATATCATAGTCTGCCTCTCTAGCTCTTGCCACTGAGCTGCTGTGAAAGGAACTCTAGCATTCACAGGCGCTGCCATTTCTCCTGGATTAATTTAAATACCATGCCTTATTCTACTTTCTTTCTTTAAAGCGTAGAAATATACGAGAAAACGATGAATGAAAGTTATGGGTGAAGAAACAAGAAGAGTTTTACCTGAGCAATTGTTGTGAAAAGAAGGGTCAGCGCTAAAGGGGTGATGATGCAGAGACTTGAAAACCACTGCAGCAGCAGCAGAAGCAAGAGCAGCACCGACAACATCGTATTATTCGCCCGTGCATGGTACCTGATTGCTTGTGTTGCAAACAATGGGCCACCACCACAAGCTCCTCCATCAAATCCATCACCGCAACAAGAAGAAGACGATAGTGAAAGCTGATGATGAGAAGAATGATGAGGCATTGGCATGAAGCTCTTGTTTGGGCAAGATTGCTCAACTTGTTGCATCCTCAAAGCCAACCCAACATCACAATGATTTGTTCCGAACTCTTTCTCTGTGCCCACAAAAGCATTATTCCTGGTACCCATGTCATCAAAATGCCACCTTTCCCATCTACAAAAAAACCACAACAAGACAACCTTAAACCCCAAGCTACTTTCACTCTTTTCTGCAAAAAAATTCTTACACGACACTGCAAATCGATCCCCTTTGTTTCTCTATAGCAAGCTGCTGTTTGTTGCTAATATATAAAAAGTTAGCTATGTTATGGTGCAGCGGTGCCGCCATTTTCAGCCATGCGTTTTGCTTTGCTTCCTAAGCTTCCAACATTCGCACCCCTTACGGAATACAGACAAAACCCACTTCACTGTACTCCGCTCTCTCTCGACACGGACAAAAACACCGAGACATCCCCAACGTTAGCTTTTGCTAACAGTGTTTGAAAATCCCCCAAAGACTCTATTACAATATCCAAGCACCAACCAGTCATAGTTGATTGGACAGAAATGGGTTTGACTTTTGATTTTCTTTGCCAGACTGAGTTTCTATTGGCTGTGAGTTTCAAGGTGCTAAAGAGTTGTTTTGACAAAGTTGACCGACTTCTCTGTCAAAAGTTAACGCCGTTAGCTTTTGCCAACATCGGGAGTCGTGAAAAAAAAAAGTAGAAGGGGTCCACATGGTTTCGTGAGCGTGTGCGGGGACCAAAGCCTATTGATGTGATGCCGTAACTAAATTGCTATTGTGTTATTAATATTTATACTCTTCCTAAAATTGTGCATTAAATTTGGACCAAGAATTTATCTTATTTTAGTACAGTAGGTTTTAACAGTTGAGAAGCATCCTAATTATGCTCATTTTGTAGTTGAGTTCATCAAATTATTGCGTGGGTTTGGATAGTTTTTTATTTTTATAAGATTTATAACTCAAGAGTACGGAAGTAATTTAAAATAATTTTTTTATTTAAAAAAGGGAGAAACTTAAATTTTATTTTTTTAAAAAAAATAATACATCCAATATGCAAATAAAAATTTAAAATATTTTAATAAAATATTCTATTAAACTTTTGTTTCACGTGAACAACATGTTACATTATATAATTACAACTACGAATTAATCGTACTGTCTTAGGCCAGTCTGATGTGGCTCGACCCTCACCGTCGTAACCATACTCACAGCACTGGAGGAAAACTGGTACACTGGCTGATTTCCATATCACTAGTACAATTTTCAATTTCATTGTTAAATTAATTATCAATCTCACAGTCACTATTATATATATATTTATAATCTCACCGTTATATCAAAAGGGGCCCTTAATCTTATTCAATAAAAGCTGCTAAAAAATCAAATAAACTTGTGTTAGAATCGGCACCCCTAAATCCTAACTTAGTTGAATAAAAAGAAAAAGAATTTCCACTTGATTTTTAGGTAAAAGACCGAAACAGGCATGATACATATGGTATCACACAAACCAAGGTCAATCTCAGTGCCTTAATAAATGGCTAGATTTTAACCTCTGCAATAAATGGCTCTCGATGACCGAGTAAAGGGTTGCTCTCTGGGTCGCTTGTGCTTTGATCAATCTCCTTGGCTCGATTGCTTGTAACCAACAAAATAATGAGGCATGCAATTTTCTTTATTTTTTGTTTCTGGGCTTCAATTGTTAGAGAAGAGAATTTATTAAGTTGTAGCAGAGTGCAGGGAATATGGCTAAGAGTTGTTCTCGAAGATCTTGTGAAGATGATGAATAATAATAAGATTTGGGAAGTACATTAATTTTCATGCTTTCAAGCCTCTTAACCTACCAATTCGAACTACCATTCATACATAGTTTACTCGGTAAATAGCCATTGATTAATGCATTTCAACAGCCAAAGTTGCATTTATCAGTATTCATGATCCAATAAATGGCATTAAGAGTTTGCCTTTAAATGAAATAGCAATATGGCATGATTTGTTCCAAGTTATTCAAATGATGATATGAACTCGAAAAAGGTAAGATACCAGGGTGTTCCACTAGCGTCGAATTAAGCAATCGTTAGTCGTCAATTAAGAGGGTAAATCCATCCGATTTAATAATGTTTTAATACTTTTATGATTTACTTATTCTGGAATTGTAATAATCAATTGCCCGCTACTTCAAAATCTTTTTATTGATTATGTTTGGTAAGTACATGTTTTGCTTAGCAACCAAATTAAAGAATAAGATTCACCTGTAGATTATTTCTGAAGGAAAAACAGATCCATTTTTAATATAATAAACATACTGTGGGATATAAATTTCCACCTAATAACTAAGATAGGTGAAAGTATTTGAAGTTGAAATCAAACTCTAACTATATTATGTCTTAGCTTTAATCCTAATTTATTGTTTCATATGCTTATTAGTCAACTTTTAAAGTAAAATTTATTTCATCAGTCAACTTTGAGTCCTATATTTTAACAAGGCAAATTTTGAGATAAAATCATAATTTTCTATATTAATTTTGTGAAATTATAAACTAAAAAAGTTATATATTTACCCAAAAAACACTAAAAAAAAGTTATATATTAACGCCTTGGTAAAATATGAAAAATGAAGCATTTAATCTCCATTTAGTCACATGTTACTTATATGTTTTACACATTGACCATATAGTGGTTTTGACACCACTTTACATTGAAATAATTCCATATATATTTTGAAAAAAAAAATTATTTTTTAAAAAAAAGGAAAGAGAGAAAATAAGTCTAATAGATAATAAACCACTTGCCTATACCATTTCATTAAATGTTTAACATCACAAGTCAAATAAATGAAGATTCTAATTTTTTGTATAATTAAGTTGAATTTAATAAAAAATTATCAATTAAGGTAAATTTACTTTTATAAGAACTTTGATAAAAAAATACATAATATTTAGTACAATAATTTAATTTTATAAAAAATCATTAATTCAAGATGAAATAAGAAATTAATAAATATGCTAATTATATTATATATAGTAATGATAAAGATATAACCACTAATTATCCAAACCATTGGAGGTTGAATTTCATAGTTGGTGTAGGAAAAAGACAAAACAAGAACTTCGATTTCCTTGTTTGGCTACATATTTGTCTTGTGATTATTACATTTACACTCGATTTGTCACTAAAGTTTTGGATAAATTTTCGATGAATAACCTCTTTGGAAGGGATCTGCTCGTTAGGGTCTCACAAAATTTTGGTTGACTAGTATTACTTTCTCAAATAAAAGGCAATGATCTGGAGATGTCAACAAGTCCAAATATCTATGGTCTTTAACCACAATTGTGTTTGTCCACATTCCATGATAATTCTTGGGTAACAGTGACTTGTTGTTGTTTGAAGCAAAGCAAAACTTACTCTAGTCTATGAAAAGCCGCCATTGTTTTGCCTCTAATCTACTCTTTATTTAATTCAATGCCGTAGATTAGATGGTGGTGATTTTGAGAAGAAGGAGCTCACCGGCTCGATCGTCAGATCGCACCCCCTTTCGCTGTCTCCCTCCTCTGCAACCTGAACCAACCAACCCTCCACTCTTCCCCTTTCCAGCAGCAGCAGCCCGAAGAACTCTCCTCTCCCCGAACCCATAAACGCTTCCATGTGCTCTGTCGCTAGCTCTGCCCCTTTCTCCTCTATCAGCCTCGAACCCTCTTCTCTCTCCTCTATCCTGCCCCCCTTCCTTCTCCTTCGCCTGAATATGATATAGGGAAATGTCCAAATGACCCTCTGAATCGTCAAAACCCTCGGGACACGCGTTACACTCAGCTACTTCTGTAGCTAAGTTAGATTCCATGTTAGATTGCCACTGTTCCTTAAGCATCTCGTAACCCTTGCACAATTTTTGCTTTATCGTTGTCCCTGCTGTTTTTTAAGAAATAGAAAGGGGCCTCTGAACTAGTTTCACTTTACTTGAAAGAACAGTTTTAATGCACATGTGATCTGTCTCCTAAGAGTGTTAAATTTTCCCTTACCCTAAAGTTTGTGCGAGAAAATGTTCATTACTTTTATCCATGTCAAGATCCACGAACAGCTTGGCAATAAAGTCCATGTGCAGATGTCTATTACTAACTTAAAAATTCAGCCTTCGCAATGAAATTTTGTGCAGTTTCCAACGCTTTTTTGCTGAGATCCATACCAACACTTTCCAATTTCGAATCCTAAAATATTAATGAACACAAACTCATATACATCCTGACACCCTTACAACAAATTACAAACCCAAAGCATATATTTACTCTATTCTTATCATCTTTCAAGAACAAGATATTTGAGGTAGCGGGCAGTAACCCATTAGCAGAATCAATTCAACAAGAAAATAAGGAAGAAACAAAATTTAAGCCAAAAAAACAAAAGTCAAATTACTTGGAGATGTAGAGGTTTTGATCGAGGGAACGATACCTTCAACTCATAATAAGACTATTTGATCGGATGGGGCTTTTCTGCTTGAGTAGAATCCTTAACTGAGCCTTTTGGCACTCCAGCTTTGTACCCCAATGCCTACTCTTTGATCCAATTGCTCGAACTACTCTTGGAAATTCGACAAATCCTTTGATCCCTCGCTTTATGTGAGGATTTTCAGGTTCTGGAGATACTTTGCGCTGAATTGCCAAGGATGAAGAGACACCACTACTTATGTTATCGTAACAGGATGATGACTTTTCGCTCAATGCAAATCTTGTTGACTCTCCTGAATCAACACCGATGTTACTATAATCACAAGATTTCTCACTGAAAACTAACCTTGAAAACTTCCCTGAAAGATTGGCAGAGAGTGATGCTGTTTTATCTTCTTTATTCTTCCGCTCGATCCTGGAAATTGAAGTGTGAGTTTGTGTACGTTTAGTTTCCTCCAATTCTAGTAACTTCTCCTCGAAGAGAATCTTGGCCTCGGCCAGCTTCATTTGAACTCGCTCTTCCCTTAAAACTTCAGCCATCCTTAGCATCTTTCTTTCCTCCTCGAATTCCTTCTTCATTCGATCAATCTCTGCTTTATGCAATGAAATTTCTCTTGCAAGCTCTTCACATACTCTCTCCAGTGCTTCTCTTCCCCTTCTTTCTTCAGCAAGTTCTTTAGCCAATCTCTTATTGAGTGACTCTACCTTTTTACGTGCTTTACGCTCATACTCTACCTCAGCTTTCAACTCAATGATCTGGGCTCGAGCAATATCTAGTTCAGATTCCATAACTGGTTTGAAGAAGGTCAGATCCCAGAAAGAGGCTGCGATCTTTCGAGCTGAGAGAGGGAAGTTTACTTGACGTGGATGCTTGCTACTTTGGCATAGTTGTTGTTGTTGTTGATGATGATGATGATGGTGAGAATAATAAAAAGGATTCTCATAAAGTTTCCAGCTAGGGCAAGTGGTGGTGGTGATGTGTTCTTGAGGAATGGTCACATTGCTGGGATTATCTGGGCTGCTGATCATCATCATCGCCTCCTCCATATCCTCTCCTTTCACTCTATATGAGCTTTTTCCTTGTAGCTTTTCTTTTCCCTTTTGCTGCTTTTCCTTTTTCTAATGGGGATTTTCCCTGTCAATAAAGCGATCGGGTAGGCCCATTATTTATCCTGGAACTTTGCTTTGAAGATGTGATTGTAAAAGCGAAAGATACATCACATGCATCTCATCTTAATTAAAACTAGTTCCAGCGGAGGTGGTCTTGCCTCTATATCCTACTTTCATCGGTCCACAACCACAACTCCATCTGCCCTGCCCCTGTTTCCTTTTAACTCTGTCGTGCTTTTATAAGCACCCCCAAACCGGCCACTCCATGGGATGCGAAAACAAAGTAGAGTATCTACGGTGACAAGGCCACAAATTTCCAGCTGACTTTTCACGCACAGGGAACTGGTCAAAACAGTTGAGGGTGATATTTTGACTGAGAAATTTAATTGACTAATTTGTTTTAATCATATGCATTGATGACAGTCTTAATGATGAAGCACCTCGCTTTTGTGGCTGCAATCAGAAACTTAAACTAACAAGTTAAACTGTATTTAATTTGCAGATGAAAACTTAAAACACAATCTATCATCGGCAGTTTTGACTTCACAACCGATGAAACTTGAAGCGGCAAGTCTAAGATTTGGCTATATAAACTTGTGAGGATTAGCTTAATACGGTCTCCATAGATGGAATGGAATGCCACCTTAAACTTTCCTTGAGTTACATGTTTTCCTTTATCTGACGACTGTGTTCAGTCCAGTGAATACGCATGGTCCACCAAACCACTCCTGTTTCTACTTCTTGTCATAGAGTAGGGCCTCTCTGGCTGGAGAATTTACACCTCTGGCAGTGGACATGTTGGTGGGGTATCTTGATCTTCTCTGGGGACGTGGTTTCTGGAAAACCGAAAGTTTCAACTTTCAGCTAACAGGGTGTATGACCCCTCTACAAAAAGCCCTGATAGCTAACCCCATCAACTGCCAAAAAACCTAGGAAGAAGAAGAAGAAGTTACCACCCTCGTTCATCACCCCTAATTTTTTAACATTGGGTGGCCTACCTGAGGATTTTAGTAACTGAACGACCATGTTTGTATCTCAGAGCAATCATTCAGCTACAACAGCCCCACATGCATATTTGATGATGCAAGTGACTGATTAATGTTCCTTTACAGCAGCGTAAGCTATAACTCATTAAAGACCAGGGGCTTTCCTCCTATAATAATAATAATAAATAATTTTAAAAAACAATTAGCATGTAAAAGAAGCTGAGAGGTCCAAAAGTTTAATTGAAATTTCCTTTCTTCAAAATGTGTTATATGTGGCTTTGCTTGTTGTCTTTGATTGGATTGCAGAAAACAAACAATGTACCAAAAGGAGGACGATTTTAATCAAAATTTGGCATCCGACGCAAGACTGCTTAGCTCTTGCAAAGTCCGCAAAGGACATATAGGCTATCATGGAGTTCGAACAATGGTCTATTTATTCCTACAGGCTGCACGTGGATGTCCCCCTTTATGTGTTATCCAGGGTCCGCTGCACTGTCATCAACCTTAAGAACAAAATCTCAATAGCTTGAAATATGACTTGCCCATAGTTATTTGGCACTAACATGACAAAACTTGGCAATCAGTCTTCTGGAGTTGGCCTAATCAGTGAATGCACTCCTTGTATCATTGACTTGAAATTCAGAACATGTTAAGATCATTAGATGCTTTGGTCAAGGGCAGCTCAAAAACTCGGAGGTTTTCTAGCAAGTGGGTTTTTCTCGTTTCCCAAAACAAAACGAAACTTGGCAGGTAATACACCTCCCATGTGCCAAGAACTTCAATCTTTCTGCAGATAAGGATTGGGTGTGCTCTTGAGTGAATTCTTGTGGTTCATGGAGAAGAAGTGCTGATTAAAAGATGTAAGTGGGGCAAGTAAAATGGACCACATTCCGATATGGTTAAAGTCATGAAGTAAATGCGACTATTTGTTGCTGCCAAGGAAACTACTATTCATTTTTACACCATGGGGCGACAAGAGTGTAATTATAATAATTGGTGATTATGATTTTGGTTTGACACAACTTTATTAGGCTTTATGCAAAAGAAAATTTGTCAGCATGTGCTTACACATGAGATGAACAGATGAATGGAAGGATCCTAAGCAAACTTTAAATGTGGAGAATGGCATGTCACAAAATATACCCTTATTCCCAATGAAAACTGGCTCATCATCTAAGAAGCATTAGGTTCTCGAAAACTCATCATTTTGTCTTGAAAGTACATAGCCGAATTTCTACATTCCGATTTCAGGCCTACAACCCTACATATCAGAAAACGATTTTTACCACCTATTGGCTGTAGGAAGAAGAGAAGCACCAAATCTCAGCATGTTGAAGAGTGATTCTTTTGGCGTTCTGTTTTTCAGAGAGCTGTAACTGATTTTTAGCGAGTTTACTATCAGAAGAAGACAACACGGCAACCACCGTTAAATAGTTGACTAACATTGAATGCCAACACAAGAAATCACCGTTTGGAGGCAAAAAATAACGTATAAACTTGTGAGACAAAAGGAAGATCAACCAATTAACTCCGATATCTCAACCACCGTTGGCAGAACTAGTGGACCTTTGCCCTTCTATGTTGTCACGAGGTTTATGTAATTATTGTAGTTGGTGTCCGCACAGCCCATATTACATACCATGGCGGACCTTTTTGTCCAGAAGACCACCTTGACACAGGATATGATAGAGGGTGTCCTTCCGTGCGTGACAATTGACATCAGGCACTGGTTCTAGATTCATGACCACATGCAAAAATAGTCTCATGATTTCACAGGGGGCCTATTAATCCCACATAGAAGAACAAGTCTTGATTTCTATGAGAAGTCATGAATCATGTATCAAAAGATGTCATGTTCTCACATTAACTGCATACTAAAATTAGTCATAACATGCAAATGGACAATACATTACAAGTTACTGAGAACCGTGACAATACCTTATTTTGCAAGTTAGTATGAACTGTGAAAATTGATATCCCTTGTTGAAGTGAGATAGCCATGAAGACAGATCAAAGCATATAACATCTTACAAATTAATGTGCACCGTGACTCTATTACACTTAGAAGACAACTCGAAGAGCAACGCAGTGTCAAATGTTTTAACTATCTTATAACATGTTTCCGTCAACTTCATATAACCTTCATCGAATAAAGTTTAAACCAAAAGGGTGATGAGAATACAGGAGAACAGACCACAGCTTCGTGTTCACAGAAGCTTAACCAGACCCTCAATCAACTGACAGCATTTTAACACGGAAAAGAGTAACGACAAAATTGATTAACCAAGCGGAACCAGAAATTTCCATAGACCTATTTTATGAGTATCAACAAGATTATATAACATATGTGTCTGAGTGAACTAAATTCATAGAACAAACAAATACAATATAGACCTCTAAATCAATCCTATATAACCATTGCCAATGGATAGATTTTGACCCCATGGCTTCACTACTAATAGATCCACAATGCAAAACCAAAGGCCATTCCAAAAGTCGCAACTGTAATTGATGAAATATCTTGGCTGCTAATCTAGACGAATTCCAGACAACGACCACATGCCTATTTCAACCTACCTCCTAGGTGAATAAGCTTCTAAATGTAAGCAGAGGAAATAAATACACAGACTATGTTGCTTACTGGACAGTCCACAACCTATAAGTTAGGAATCTCTGAAATAACATATGCCAGCAGTCAAAATCAAATGCATATGCAAGTTATAAATGGCACAGACCTGGAATTTAAAAAGTTGTCTATTTGCAAAAATCATCTCAAATTGTTTAAGAAACTATTACTATAAAACATGGACCATGAAAAGTAATCTAATATATATTGTGCCAATTACACTCCTATTCAACATGTAAGTTATAAAGAATGCTAGTTCTCGTCATGGCATATGGAGTTAGGTTGATCCCAATCAATTAGCTAAATTTAAGCAACTTGTTAGTATGAGTTCATTAAAAGGTCAATATAGTATCTTCAAACTGCAAACCCTCCTTATTTACTTCAGAAAGCTCTACAGCTAAAATAGCACAACATTCTCTGCCCACACCAACTCCAAGTCATATTTTGCAAAGAAAATACCAGAAATATATTCTGTCTCTGTTTTCCTTTTTTTTTCCTTAAGATGGAATCCATGATTTGTGCACAAGATAGCACACTTAAGCGTGCAATTGAGATCCAGCAAATCAGATAGAACAAAAGCACAGATAAGACAAATCTTTAGCCAAAGTTAAATAAATGCATAAACTGGTTATCCACATTGCCTAAAACATAAGGGGTAGTTACACTTTTCCTAGCAGTCTGAAAATTTTCATTCATTTTTTGAGAGTAAATCTCATAATTATGCGGATAGGTGTTTGAAAATGTCGGATCAAAAAGGAAATTTTCCCAAATTAGATTTCAAGTTCAAAAGATCACTTCTATACTTTCTTTTAAAACAATACAAGTAATAACCCCAATGAGCACATATTGCATTGAGCAAGATGTGCAGCAGGTTGTCTTGGAATAGAGCTTAACTAAGATTAAGGCACCAACTGGGACCTATTCTAAAGGCAGAACAACACAACTTAAACCCGTGCCTGAAAGATCCAATGCAAACCATGTACAAGATTTTATAGCAGTGATAAACTATTAAATTAACCAAGGATACAATCATTACTGACTTCCACGAGCACTTTTCCCAACTCTATGGAAGCTATATCAGTCAGATCATTCTAATCCCATGAGGTGAATGACTACCATAACTACCTGTTTGCAGAAAGGGAAAATAAAAATTTAAAAAACTCAAACTTGACAACATTTCCCCTTTTCCTTTACATTTTCTGTGAAGGAATACAGGTATTAGTTTGACTAAAGTTACCAATTTGCATTTTAACAAATGGCATGAAGCCTTGACAGTGGTGGAAAGTGCGCCACAACTAAATGGATCAGTGTTCTCAGGTGGCTACATGCAAATTGCAATGCTCTTCAAAATTAATTTCAGATTCAGCAGATACCTAGTTTAGATTCATTAAAGCAGGCTTGCCATGACTAGATGTCAGTTAGAAGCACATTTGATATATCACATTCACTTCATATATTAACAATAAAAGCCCCTAAGAATGGATGCAACTCAATACAGAGTTCCAAGTGGTAGTGTGGCAACCACTCTTCGTTAAAGGAGCCTTTGGTAATTGGTTCTTGGCAAGTGCATGTGTCAAGGATGCTATATCAATAAGAAATGAGATGAGTTTTAAGTTCATCAGTAAAGGCTTCCCTCCACCTGATAGATGTGTATTTTGGATTGAAAGTATGAGCTTGAGAGGAGTGATATAAGAGTTTATCTAACTCTTCATTAATGTGAGACCCCATAAGTAATACTAGGGTCAAGGTAGGCCCAAACCAAAATGAGTCCCTTTTCTCTATGTATGAAAAAGCCAGTGCAATAAGAGCGTTGCACAATTGGATGAGGTAAAATATTATATATCTCACATCAGTAAGAGATGAGATCAGTCTTCGACTTATAAGTATGAGCCTTCCTCCACCTGCTAGATAAAACTTTTAGGTTGAAAGTGTAGGCCCGTGACAAATGAACTATGCAACTTTTACACACAGACATGATTTTTTCAGAAGTAACATATGTCAATCTCTTTGTCAACCAAAAATACAACCCTCAAAACAAAGTCTCAATAGAATTTTGAGATTACTAGAACTGCTTTGTTTCACAACATATTCCCTTAATGAGTAATAATTAATGAATAACACACACGGAGTTGCAGAAAAAGTAAAGCATAAATTTTGTATTGGTAGTTACACATGCTCTAAAATTCACAAGCATACATAAAAGTTTATAAAATAACCTATCAACTTCAAAGACAACGGTACAGTAGATCAAAAAAACTTAAGGAAAAAGAGCATGAATTACCACAGTTTTCTAACACTGGTACCCATTTTGATGATGTCATTCTACCTCAACTATCCCAGTTTGATTCTCTGCACCATTTCTTTAATCATTCTCAATTTTTTTTCTCAATGAATGCCATCACAATTCAAACTCATCTTCAAGCTTCAACTGCTCCGCTGCAGCCTCTTCCTCCTCATCATCAATCACAAAATACGGGTTATGTGCCTCTGGCTTGAACTTATACCCCGTAAACACATAAAACGCAAGTGTTGCCAACTCACCAGCCACCACACTGGTCCAAAGATACTTATATGAAGTAATTGTCTCCAAGGCATAAACCACAACTCGTGTAAAGTAAATATAACAGATCACAACAATGTAATACTGCCTAAACAGAGTCAACTTCATCAAATTCACTGCAGCTTTCCCATCCGTCCTAGCTGCCTCACGCAAGTTCTTAATCGACCAAACAATAGGGAACAACACTGCGCAACAACAAACAACATCAACCAGCAAAAACACTTGCTTCCACGTGATCCAATCGTGACCGAAAGGTCCAGTCTCATCAATAACAACCTGAGCAATATTAGCAACAACCTGAAGCGGAATCACAATCATCAAAACCTTCTTTTCCTTGTCCTGCAAGTAAGGTTTCAAAAAGGACCACCCAGTACCAATCAAAACGATCAGAGTAAAAAGCGTGATTCCTTTCAAGAAACTGAATATGTAAAACAAAACATCCCAACCGTGAGCACTTCCAGTTCGTTTAATGTAAGATTTATCCTCTGCTTCGCATACTAGATTAAACGCTTTCAAAATAACAACGGCCAGCATAAAGAAATGGATTCTAAAAACGGTGAGTCGTTTTTTGTAAAGCACGTAAATCCAAATCCCTGCGAGAGTGAAATAAACGAGGGATAAAAGGAAGTAAACCCTAGGGAGAATTGTTTTGCCGGCGGAAAGGTAATCGCGGCGGTTTTTCTTGCCGTCGAGATTGTACATCGCCGATCGAACGTTCATCGATACTTTGATTTGACTAAGGCAGTTAGCGAAGACGAGCGTGTACTGATCGGCGTCATTCTCTAGGTAAACGGTGTCGAAGCTGGATTTGCTGTTGAGAGACTTGAAGTCGTAGACGACCTTGACGAGATCGGAATTGAGAGCGCAACCAACTTCCCCGTCTTCGAGTTGCTGGAGCACGTGCATCCACGCGTCACGTGTGCAGAGGAAGAATCCAACTTTGGACAAGTCGAGGTCCGGGTTCGGGTTCGAGAGTGCGATCTGAGAAACGTTGAGTTCGAGGCGGCCGGTGTGGGTGAACCCAAACTCGTCGAAAGGGATTATGGGGCGGCCATCGGATCGGATCTCCGTGACTCGGATCTCAGCAAAACCAAACGAAGCCAAAAGAGAGATCAAAAGAAAAGATAAAAGACAGCGAGAGATCGCCATGGAGAAATGGAATATTTGGTGTAGATCTGAGAGAAAATTTCAGACCTACAAAGAGAATTAGATCTGTGATTTCTTCTTTCCCCCTTCCGATCGGGGCTTTGGTGGGTTTTTATTTTATTTTTATATACAAAGGCTGACTTTGGAATGTTAACACTTGAACCAACTCGTTATGTGCGTTTGTTTGTGCTGGGATTTTTACTGGTTGAGGGTGGGAGGAACAATTTGGAGTAATTGCCGAGAATTTTTCGACGCTTAGTGAAATTACTCAATCATACTCTGTTTTGGCTTTAACTGCCAAAAAACTATTGTAGGGAGTGCCGTTGTGACTATGGTTATAATGGTAATTTGATGCGGGGGCAAGGGAGGGTAACTAGAGCTAGAAAATTCCCCAAAGCGGTAAGTGGCAAGCCCTTGAAAAATCGAACGATCTTGAAAACGTGAGAGTTGTTGATGTTGGAGCCAATTATCACAAAATTGGGACGTACGGGGACATGCCATAAGCGTGATTAGCAGGTTTTGATTGCTCAATTGCAGCATACAATATCAGATTGTTCAATCTGAGGTTCTCAGAGGTATCAACGTTAACACTTGGTATCTATCGATTCTATAGATATTATTAGTTGTTTCTCTCTTGCATTTGTCTTGTATCTCCAATTTTTGGGCATTTCATTGCCAGGATTATCTTTTGTCAAGAGCTTCTAAAAGCTTATTGTATTTCTTGTGTGTCTTTTGAGATGATAAAAGGAACATGTTAAAAGCAACGAAAAAATAATAATTTTTTAATTTTAAAAAATTCAAAACTTATTTTTTAAGTAAAAAAGTATACATTAATCAGTGGATAAATATTTCAATATGAATGGAAATAAATTTCAATCACTTGAAAAGCGTGTTTGAAAAATCCTTAGCTCTACTAAAAGTCAAATACGATACAAAGATTTTCTTTATTCTATGGTGGGCTTAGAACGAAAAGAGGAGAAAGAATGATGGTGGAGTCTCTTTCAAATACTTCATTGGAAACTTCACCGCCCAAAATTTCAAGGCTTCTAGTATGGGTCTTATCACCTACTTGACAGAGTCACACCTAGAAGAGGAGCTGCTCGGTTAGTTTCGTGTGGAGCGGGTGATTATTTGGCCTTGAAGACCCAGTTCATTGGACTGCTTCTTTTCATCGGAAATTCAAGGCTATACATATTTCATTCAAAAAACCATCTAAAGTTTTAAATGAGGGATGCATATTCTGATGTTCTGCTATGGTAAGCATGGGTGCAACACCAATGCTGCAATGGCAGGAGCTCTAGGTAATGATGTTTCCTTGACATTACTGATAACGATACCATGCTGGAAAGCATGGTTTCAAAATTTGTTACAAATTAATATTCTCTCCCAGATAGAATATGGAAATGGAAGCGTTTCTTTTTACTACATCAGCTTCTCTTCTTCTCATATTCACTGCTACATTAGAAGGATGCTAGCTTTTAGTTTGCAGTGGCTTTCCCTGAGAAAAAAGCAAGAGCTCCGACAAATGGTGCATTGATATACGTGGCTGGCTCCGATTGCTGATAATTGTTACGATCATCTGCGAAGTTGTCTTTACTATCAGGACCACCTACTATGGCTCCAACGAGGACATTCGGGTTGGGTGAGCTAGAATAGAGGTAGTGAAAACCATCGTTGCAGGTGATGCGATCAGGATGTGCATGAATGGATGGTACAGATGAACCCCTGTGGTGGACGTGTTGCGGATACCTCCCTCCGAATCCAACCATGAAAGACAATTTGGCTGGATTATCACCCAAAATGTAGTCCACCTGCTTCTTCGCATGTGCTATGAGGCTCTCTGCTGTTACAGTTGAAGTCCCGCATGTGGCAACTCCACCATTTGCGCTAAGGTACTTGGCATACGTCAAGAGGAGGAAAGATGTGGTAGTGACATATTGTAGATTGCTCTCGCTTGCTTTGTAGAGAAGTCCTCCTGCAAAATAAGGTTATATTAGACATTTTTTCATATGGTGGAAGCAGTTCCTCTCTGAATTATGCAGAGGGTTTGCAATTAGTACAACTTCCAAATGATATGAGTGAAATTGAGACTTCCAGTTAAGAGTAAGAAATAGGCCTGCAAGGTTCTCACCTGGTGTATATTGGGCCTGGAACCCAGATGTTCCAGGAATTAAGGAGCATATGTAGTTGTCTGCATGTGATTTGTATAATTGAAATTGTTCTGTGCTTTTCTCCAAGAAGTCCTGTTAAAATCACCCACAATTGGTAAGCTCTCGCTTGATGTCTTTCGGGGGAGGAGCAAGGATGAGATTCTTGAAAATACCTTGGAAAGAAGGACCTTTGTTCCAGCTCTCTTATCATCCCAACTGAAGGAGTAGTCATCGTTATCTGACCCCATCGTGTGGCCATTGGATTGGATGTATGATAAGTATGAGTTGTCCTGTGAGGCTCGATGGATCCAGGATGCACCCCAGAGAAGCTCATCCTATTCAAAGTATTCTGATTAATAATCATAGTTAACTTCAAACAGATTAAGAAGGGAAAGGGTGTTTCTTACCTGGTATCCAGAGTAAGAGCAGTAAAATGGGCAGACCACTGAGTTTAGAGAGTCACTGTAAGAGCCTCGGTGCCTGTCTGCAAAGTCAAAAACCTGCATCCACAGAATCAGCTTCTTGTAAACAGGGGAAAAGGAAACAGAAAAATGTCAAAAAGAGAATGCCAGCTATTACGTTGATGTTTTTACCTCCTTGGCTGTTTGAAGCAGTTTGGCAGAATAGGAAGGGTCGGATTCTTTGAACACAATTGAAGCTGCAGCCAATGCAGCAGCTGTCTCGGCTGCTACATCAGATCCTGGGTTTTGAGTGGACACCTTGTATACATTGCGTGGGGTATCCATATCTTCTGGCCTCTCCCAGCACTTGTGATCCATGTTTGGATCTCCCACCTGCAACATGAGAACCATATTATAATGAGCTGTTGCACATTTTGTTCTTTTTCTTGTTATCTTTCTGAAGTTTCACTCTCTGATTTGTCAATGACTCAATAAAGCTATAAAGACATTCTACTTGTTTGATCCTCCCAAATCTGTTTTGCTCAAGGGTTCACCAATTCATAAGAGAGGATTTGTTATTTATGATGAGACTTCTCTGCTGCACCTTAATGTACCTCTATCAACGTTTACTTCCATTTGCTTTTTGCTAAAATTCTTTTAAAGTTACATTGCTCCCCATTAATATTCGGGGTTGCATGCATGAGTTGTGTTGGAGATTATATGTGTAAGCATTAAGCAGTCCGTTTCGCTCACTTGAACATATAAGGTGCCAGGGGTGGCAGTAGCTGCTTTTAGAAGATAATCTGTACCCCAGCGGATGGCAGCCTTTGCATTCTCAATCTGGTTCTGCATTGAGCTGCCAAATTCAATGACACTCCATGCCAACATTGTTGTTGTGAAGGCCATTGGAAGGCCAAACTTGACATTATCCCCAGCGTCATAATAGCCACCCACGAGGTCCACCTGAATCCCACACCAAAAAAGCAACCAAATGAATTAGTATATCAATGCTTACTCTAACTGTTAATGAATTTGGAACTGTAGTTGTACATACATGATAGGAAGAACCATCGGACAGACCGGAGTTTCCCCTCCATTTGAGGCGCTGGTTAGGCGGTAACCTGCCAGACCGCTGTCCCTCAAAGAAGAGAATAGACTTTTCGAGAGCATCAGAGTAATCATGAGAAGTGAAGGCGGTACAAAGCAAGCTAAGAGAGAAAAGAGTTAAACAAACAATCTGCACTGTGAATGAAAATATAGCAGGAGCCATTTTTTCGCTCTCAAAGTCTGCCTCTCCGAGCAGATTCCAGGCTTTGAGAATACTTGTGGCGTGGGGAATGTGTCTTGGGAGGGGAGCTATTTATAGACAAAAAGAAAAAGCAGGAAGTTGGGAGTTCGTTAGACGTTGAAAGAAGGAGAGAGATGGGGGGAAGAAAGATTCATGCAGCTCACGGGATCAACTGCGTAAATTTGGACGATCTGTTCTGTTCTGAGGACGACATGCAAACTTTATCCAAACCAAGATATGGGAACGTGGAAGCCTTGATACAGACACAAAAACATAAATTACGTATTATTCTTTCTCGAGTTATTGAAATCTTTTTACTTGTAAAAGAGGGAATATTATCCCAAAAGTCTTACAAAGACTGCGCGAATTAAGAACTTTGGATACCGTAATTAATGCCGGGGTATTTGATTTTGTAGAAATATGATTTGTCCCTGGCTACAAAGTCACGGATGGTAAAAGACGTGAGTCCACATGAGGCCTCAAATGTCATATATAGCTGAGGCTCATCAGAAAAAAGCTGCGGCTTGTTAGTTGAATGCATGAACAGTTTAATTAGTTACAGGGGACCGAAAGTCCAACCATAATTCCATAGATCATGTGATTGGAACTTGGAGAGGTTACCCCCTGAAAACTCTTCTAAGTTTTTGAGTTTCACATGGTTGGTCAAGGATTTCAGAAAGTCTCTTGGCGGGAAGCTCTTTCTCATTCTGCGGCTTGATTTTTGGGACCTCCTCTTTTGGACTTTAAGAGACCACCCAGAAACCTAATCATAGGTAGCAGCCTCTCTTAAAAATTTGTTAGTCTCATTGCAGGACTTTACATTGACCACAGAAAAGATTTCCAGTTCTAATTTCTCTGTACCTGTGATCTTTTGTTATTTCCTCCAATTTATTTATATCGATTGGGCCAAGATATGCGTCACGCGTGCTTTTTACTGTCAAGAGATAAATTGATCCGGTGGTCCTCGCCAAATTCATCTCGACTACGTGGAAAATGCGACTCCCAAGATAGTATGAATGTTAATCGTGACTGTGTTATACTTGGTCTTTCACGTGTGTTGTTTTTTCTATCAAAAGATGAATGATCCTGGCCAAATTAAGCAGCCTTACATGGGAAATGCAACACATGCAAAGTTGCATCAGTTTGCTAATTTGTTTCTTTGTTGAACTTACTTCTCTGCAGTTTCACGTGGACGCCACCCGAGTCAAGAGGCGATCAGAGAAAAGCCGGAAGCTAATTATGGCCTTTTTTTTCAAATTTTCAATGGTTAGAGGCAATCAGCTTCCCCGCTTTCTTCGCATGCACCATGGTAAGATTTTGTGACATTGGCCGATGCTAACACTAGCCTTTTTCTCCCATTCTCAGGTGACAATTTTTAAGGTATTGTGGCTACATCACCGAATGAGAGCTTTCTCTTCCTTGCAAGTTATTGTATTTTATACGGATAACCTTTCCTCTAATATCCTGATCATGACATTTGGATTTCTGTATAGACCAATGCTTCCTGTTCTAAGCAAAGCACGTGGCCTCATCTTATGAAAAAACACAAAACATAATAATAAATAGCTTGACTTGTTGCTCAGATGCGTAGATTTAACAAAAATATAATATATATTTTAATAAATAAATTAATCGAGTAAGGTCGAGCTGAATTTGGACCTAAGAAACTATGTCTGAGCTCAATCCATGACAGGTCCGGTCCATGGGCCTACGGATAGACTGACCATAAATGCCTGGATTATTGAAATTGTATGCAGAGTACTGAAATTTGAAAATAATTGTTCAACTTTTTAAATACATTTTCAACAACTTTTTATATAATTTTAGTAATTTAAAATTAATAAAATATATGTACAAGGTACTGAGTTTTTAATAACATAAATATTTTTTCAGCAACCTTTTGTCTAATTGTAGTAATACAAATTACACAGTTTACTAAAATTTTGTATTCTTTTTTGGCCTTTTGAATTCATTTTCAATAACATGATTTTAGTAATCTAAACTTATTAAAAAAATATATACACAAAAGTTACTGAAATGAAACATACATTCAAGTTACTGAAATTTTAGATAGCTTCTAAATATTTTTGCAATTATCTTATATGTGATTCAAGTAACCTTAGTTATTGAAATTCCATAAGGATTACTAAAATTTTTAGATTTTTTTAGTATATTAAATACTTTTTCAATAATTTTTTTATGTGAATTTAGTAATCTAAAGCTATTACAAAAAATATACAAGATAATAAAATTTTAGATAGCGTTTTAAATACTTTTTCAGTAACATTTTCATGTAGAGATACCCATAAGTCATTCATTCCAAGAATAGACGAAAATATAAATCACTTAAAAGTTTGTAAAATATGCCGAGAGTTAACAAAAGCAAAAGAAATATTTACTTTTAAACTTATCTTTTTGAAGAAAGGAGGCAAATTCTGATCGTTGATTGAAACAAACAAATAGAAAATGGTAGTATTATCCATGCAGTCTATACATAGCGGTTTCTACATTGTTTCCTGAACGATGATGTCACCTAAGATTCTTTCTTCTTTCTTCTTTCTTAATTAATCAAGCTTTGTGTACTTTTCTTGTTTTAATTATAAGATGTATGAATGTTGAAGATGGAGAGTAACAGGATACAGGAAAAAGTCTTCAACTGGTACGGTTTTCTTCTTCCATTAGAGAAGGCAGGGAGAGCATCATCTCATGCTTGTAATTTAGGGCAGACACTAGAGCTGGGATCTGCCATGGAACCTGCAGATTATGTAATGGTTAGAAGGCAGAAAATCAAGAACAGAAAAGGTCCATTGTTAGAGAAAGAAGACTACCACTTTTTCCCAGAATGAAGCTGAAATTAACTTACACATATCGGCAAAACAAGGCTGTTTGGATGCCGGGTCTTCCTCAAGAGCGGGTGGAAATTGTCCATAGATCATTTCACAACTCATGTCTTCAAAATCTGAGAGTGAAGAGTTTCATTTATAAACCATATCAATATGACCCAGAAAAACCATCGTTTAGGGGCATAAACAGTAAAGCTAGAGCAACATTGAAGAAACATACTGGGAGTCATGGTTAATGGAAGCCCAAAGTCATTGGTAAAGAAATCTTGAGTAGGAATCTTGCACATGTTCACACACATTCCAGCACACCCGCTATTCTCCAGGTACCTTTTTGTTAGGAGAATTCAGAAAATTTGCATAAGTATATTCCAAAATAAATGAAAATGACAAAGATTAGTCCTCTGCTTAGTTTTCAAGAAACTTGATTCATTTAGTTCCTGAATAAGTGTTACAACTTCTATTTCAACATTATGAACGTTAAATAAAGGATATGGTCATTGCCCCATGAATTCATATACGAATAAATCAAGTTGTGTACCTGCATTTCTTAATATGAACTCCACTTTTTTGCTTCACTCCATTTACTTCCACTTCCACAACCTGGTAGATTCTCATCAGTAAGAATATGCCAAAATGGCAGACAACATATATATGAACATTAGATGTTGAACATCAAGCTTGTGTAGCTTGGGATATGACCATTCAAGATTGTGATCAAGGGGATATATGCTTTATCCTTACATTGAAAAGAAGGGGAATTAATCTACAAGAAATAAGAAATGTGTATCGACTGTTGCAGTCAGATGCTCTGAACATGACAAAAAGCATGGATTTTAGACAATTACTCTTGAAAGAGTAGATATTCTATCCTTAAGCTTTAAGAATATACCTTAAAGTAATCATATAAGAATTTGAGGAAGATTATTACCTCAGAAGGGCCAACTAACCAGTTGAAGAAAGGAACTGTCAGTGCAGCATTGAACTCCGCAGCCCACCTTGTTGGTGGAAACAATTTCCGAAACTGCATCAATAGCAACTAGCTATTCTCACGCGTCTTGATCGAATTAACTTAAACACATATAAATATACAATTTGAAACATATTATCAAATAAGCCGAAAATAAATACTAAATAAATAAACGAAGGCAAAACTTCAGTCTCATCATTTTTCTCATAATTTGTTATTATACTACTAACTTTTAAGATGTCCATAATCACACTCAATCAGAACAAATTGGTTCCTGCCCACTGCCCAGTCAACTAGCTCAATCCTGAAGGTGTATAAGGACACACGCCAAAGTTCACATGAAAATTGCTTTAAGACAAAAGGACTGAACAAACATTTACTGATTAATTGTAGGGAATTAAGAATTGCTCACCTGAGCTGGTGCACCTGGAGGGAGCATGGACAAGAGCACTTCTCGGACCACTTGCTGCTGCTGCAAGCGAGATCTCCCCTGCATTACCCTCTGTGACACCTCAACGAAACTCTCATAGTCATACTCAAACCATCCCTTCTTTGCTACCTCCCCAGCTTTTGGTGCAGCCGCAAACTTCTCCATCTTGCGGGCAAAAAGAGTCATAAATGCTTTCTCAAACAACCCATCGTTATATTTTGTTTTCTGTCCCAGTGGAGCTGGCTCTCCAGACGGCTCTGCAATACCACAGTGGATAAAATTGCTAAAATTTCTGTGTCGTCGTATTGAAAACTGTTGAGGAGCAGTAAAATGTGCAGCTTGGAGGCCTAGAGCCACCATGGTATCTGTTGTTTTCTCCTCAGAAACAACACTAAAAACTCAGCCCGAGTCTTTATTTCATAACCATTAAGAGCAGAAAGTGCCGGGGTTTTTATAGTTAAAACTCTGTTTACAACTTATACACCTGTGCAGTTTTAGGAGACTTTAGTTAGAAACAGCAGTTTAGGACAAAATTTCAGGAAAGGTAAAGACTGTATAGTTGGATGAGATTGCATGGCTTCCATAAAAAAAATTGATGGCCATACATTAATATCACTGAGAGCAGATTACTACCCTTTTTTTGTTCCTCTTGTTCATTGGTTACTGACTTCCTTATCTTTGGAATGGCTGAAGTAACCCCCAGCAATTTTATTTCATCCTCGAAGCTTAGTTTGCCAATAAAAATTAAATAATTGTTTTCGCAAGGCTAATAGTGGAATTCCAGAGAAGAAGATAACAGTAGAGAGATGTGTGATGGTCCCATATCCTTCAGAAGATCTAATTCATCAGAAGTAGATTTCTGAGGCTTAAAGAGATGCCACGCATTTACTTTGCTGTCAACTGGTGTCTGGAATTTGTGAAGCAGGGAAGGAGCCAAGCCAACCTCGAGGTCGCGAATTTGAACTCAAATATCGGGAAGGCTTGTGTTCAAAACACGGGGATGAAAAATATCAAAATGCTCATCGATCAAAACTGTGAGATCTGCATCCAATAATTATATAGTTGAAAAAACCTATGAGAGAAATTCATGTTGTGCACAGTTTCTGCTATTGTCCATCACGACTCACAATTGTCAATCAAAGCTTAGTTGATGGACAGCTAATAGTAGAGTGAGCAAATGGGTGAATTTGATAGATTTGTGAGTCATATCTAAGAATTAAATAAATTAAATAATTTTAAAAAATTATTTAAAATTAATAAAATATAAAAAATTTAAATTAATTAAATATAAAATTAATTTAATCAGTTTGACTTTAGATCAATAAATCAAAATTTTATCATTTATTTTATAAATTATAATATTAAAATTTATAAATTTTATTTATAGTTATAAGATGTACAAATTATGTATAAATTAAATATATGTATATATAATTTTTTTATTATATATATAAAATTAATGACATAATTTATATGTTATAATATTTTAATTTTTATATCAAAATTTATATAAATAATAACTAATTATAAACAATATGTTATAAAAATTAAGACGATAACTAATAAAATTATTAAATGTAATCATATAAATAAAGTCTATTATAAGTTATAATAATACTTATGTATAAATTAAATATACATATATATAATATATTACTTTATTATGTATAAATAAAATTAATGACATAATTTATATGTTATAATGTTTTATATCAAAATTTGTATAAATAATAATTAATTATAAACAATATGTTATAAAAACTAAGATGATAATTAATAAAGTTATTAAGTGTAATCATATAAATAAAATTTATTATAAGTTAAAGTAATGCTTATGTATAAATTAAAAAAATATGTAATTATAATATTTATATAATCATATATATATATTCATAACATTTTATATTACAAAATATTATTAAGGTGTAATAATTATAACATATTAATATATAGGATATTTACTATCATATATTATAATATTAACATGTAAGTTATATTATTTAAAATATATAATTTATAATTAAATAAATATATATAACTAAAATTAAATTACTATGATTACTATTATATATATATAATAAATTAATATATTTTAAATATATTATTAATTAAATTTATTATCAATTCTTATTAATATATATAAAAATATGTAAAAGAATTAGTTTGGTTTTTTTTTTTGAGTAGATTAGTTTAAAAATTTTAAAACCTAGAACCAACTAAAAAATCAATTGCACTAAATATATTAAATCAATTGATCAAATAAATCAATCAGATCAAACTATTTTAATAAAATCATATTTAATTTGAATAAATAAATAATTTATTTTGATTTTACTCACCCCTAACTGATTGACAATAGCAGCATAATTTTTCAAGGATAGTAACCTGGTTAAACAACTAACATAAATATATCTATGTCTGTGTCTTAAGGCTTTACATTTATTTATTAAAAAGGAAAAATATTTGGTAAGAGACTATAGGTTTAACGCTTGCCGTTTGGACTTATCACATGATAATTCCAATCGACATTAAAAATTCCAGGGGTTAACCCTGGGAGTCGCAAAAGTCTATCAGAACCGATCTGACACTGAAGGCCTGGCGCCATGTAGACTCAGAGCCTCCATGGGTTAATCTTTTGACTTACCATGGGCTCCCTTTTGTTTTCTTTCCATACGCAGGCTCCCTAATCCTTTCTCTAGGTTTAGGTGGACTGTAGACCCAAAAGCGAAAGTCCTATATGGTGTTGGATTTTAGTATTGGGTTGGATTGTGGACAAACAGCCCAGAGCAAGGCCCACCCAAATCACCAAAGTTGAAAATCACAGTTGCCGTTGCTCTGCCCCTTGCTAGCGCGTCTATTGACTGTTGGTATCGTAGTTCCTTCCCTACGAAATTGTCCATTTGATTTGACCTTTGAATTCTAAGCATTGGCCAGGGCCAGCCTGCTAACCACCCACGCACATGATCTTCTGAAAACAGTTGAGCTTCTCAGGAGCATAGAGAAAAACAATTTAGCCACCGAAAATCACATGCCGATGTCTCTCTTTCTCTCCGCCGTTCATGACTTTTGGCTCTTCATCATTCATTTTTGTGGTTGAATATTTTTTTAACGTACGCCATATGTCCCATACCCTGCCACCGTAAACCAATGCAGGCTGAACACCCAACCATGGTCAGGACAGCTAACCCCTGCATTTCACTTTCAATTAACAGTCAATGTTTTTGCCCATTATTAACAGTAGTAAACCACCGTTGATATCGAAAACAATCAAGGGACTTCAGGGCTGGACCAATTACAGAAAATTCAATCAATTCTCTTTCCCGTTCATCATAAGCATTGGGAAGGCAAAATTTATGAAAACAGCTACTTGAGTGCTTCTTCTAGCTCTAAATGTCTAATTTTTTTATATGGCACAGTGACACATGATTCGGTACAAGAAGTCAACGGCTACTGAAAATTTAAGAAAAAGAACAGCGCATAAAGGCGTCACAATCGGGAATTGCCTTACAGGGAGAGGGCAGCTTGAGAGAATGATTCATTGATGATTGATGAGTAATAAGTTGATTTATGGAATCTTGATAAAGATAGTGAGCATCAAAACGAGGAGCAAAGAGTAAGGTTTGGGAGGTGTGTTTGAGTTTTGACTCCCTCTTTGGACTTAAATGGCTGAGTCAGAAAAGCAGTAGTTGACTTTTGTTGTAGCTGAAGTTTGATAATTGCTAGCTAGAATGTATAATTTCTAGGTGAGGAATTGAACAGGGATTCCTAGGTAGACCTCCATTGTTTTATGTTCTTATCAAACAGTCCCATCACTCATTACATATTTTGTTCTCAACCTGTCAACCAGCAGTCATTAAGCATTAATTATATGCATAAGAACTCTTTTCAATTATTTTACAACATTGCGAATCTTTCTGCTCTAGGCTTCTCAGCAGGTCACTAGGAATTGTAGTTGTAAAGCTTCCGAATATTGATAGGGGAGCTGCTGCCTTCATCCCCATCGAGCAACTCTTTTGCAATGATAAGATTAGCAGCTTCGGTGGGGTGATATGCATCCCAAAACACGTACTTGGATCGATCATTGCACAATGCTGAAGTACTTGCTTTTGAATTTGGGCTTTTGAAGCAAATGAATGGGGGGAAATACCCACCGCAACATGGCTCATGAGCATTCTCAAACCCTACAAATGTCCAAACGCATAAAAATTAATTAGCGAACTAGAATTTGATAATTATGACTAAATTATTATGCTTGATTTTAATTTTTTATATCATTTCCATTTTTTTATAAAATTAAAATTAAATAATAAAAATAACATACACTAACCATATTGATGATAATTAACAATGATCTTCATGAAAATATCATAAGAATTTGCAAATACAAATATTGCTTCAGGTCCCATCTCTTGATTCAAACGATTCAAAAGCTCTTTTAATTTCTCATTATAGCCTTGGATCAATGCGTTCACCTCAGCAGAGCATTTTCCACTTGGCAATAGATTGAACGCTCGAACAAAAGGTATGCAACCCAGTGGTCCAACCCCAACAACAAGCAACTTTCTAGCCCCCAATTCATGCAACCGCTACATAAGTGATGGCATATTAGTAAATGTACATGATTTTATCAAAAGAATTCTTATTTTCATAACAGAGCTATTTAAACAGTAAAAAAAAGTTACAGTCCGAATAAATATTGAAATTATTTACTCATAATATCATTATTTCTATCGGCTTATTTTTGGGACTGATTGTTTTGGGAACAATGCACATATGGCTCTGCCCTTTCAGCAATGCTATTTTATCAAAGTGAGTTAATGCTATTTTCCCAATAAGTGGACAGGGCACACCCCCTATCCGACTCCCAAACTCTAAAGTAAAATTATTGAAGGTGTCGAGAATTGTTCTTACCTTTAGTTGAATGGTCAAGTTGGAGATCATGGAATCTAGGAATATTGTTGTGGGGAAGAGTTTGTCATGTCCCAGAAATGGTATTGATGGTTGGACATAGTTCAATATATCGTTGGACCCAATTGTGAGAGAGAAGATCGCCTTCTTTAAGAATTCCCTGGTACGATTTTCACCCATCGCATTCACCACATAATTTCGATTTTGCTCGAAATACTTCACTTGCTCCCTAAGTGGAATTCTTCCAATCTGCATACAAGTGCTCTTATTACAAAACTTTTTTTTTTACTTATAATTAAACAAACCTAATGTAGTACTCACAAAGAAAAACCCAGTTTCGTCCAATATTCCAGAAGCCCCAGAAGCATAATTGATTCCCCTAAGAATCGCCTCAGTCTGAGTGTTTGGGGCTAGGTAAGGTGGTGGAAAAGATTTGGCTCCGAGAGCTTGACCTGTTTCATCCAAAAAAAAAAAAGATTTGATGTTGAAAGAAAAAGAAAATACAAACCGTAGCCAGTTTGAAACATCACTTTCAAGGATAAATGGTGACACTGTGATATTAATTTCATGTGCCCAACTTCCTTCTTTCTTCCCCTCTACCAAATAGCTGGCCTGGCATTAATTGCTTCTGAAGTTCTTTCAGCATTTCTTTTCATATTTCAACACTGCTTTTGACAAATTAAATTCCTATACAAGCTGATGCCTAGGTACAGGTAGATAAAACTTAAAAAAGGAATTAATGTTTTTTACTGAACCGTAGGACATTAATTCAACTATTCTAGTTTGGTTACTAGTCTCATATCAATTCTAGCCAAAGGCTAGAGGCCGGAAGGCCGAACCTCGACAAACTTCTAATACCACCGGCAATATCAGCTAAGCTAAAGTTAGTGTTGCCAGAGTACTTCAGTTGATTTTGCAAAGCCAAATTAGGTTTCATTAGGAAGGCGCAAAGCTTAGGTGATCGGCTTGCATACATTAGACGTACAGGACTGGAGCCCTCCAAGCCAAGAACGAGATTTGGTAAATATATACGAGTCAGCCCAAACCGTAGTGTGCCTAGACGATAGGCTAATTAATGATTGAAGACAATCATTCATTTCTAATTCAATACCTCTCTACCAGCATATCTTAATTGAAGATCTCAAAGCTAACCGGGAATATTACAAATTAAAGATTATGAAGTTGGCATTACCTACAATGTCAGCTATTGTTCGACCATTGGTAAATCTTCCAGTGGGTTGCCCACCCGAGGGCTTGAAGTCGATTCCATAAGGAGGGGAATCAGCCTTTGAGAGGGTGAGCAGATAATCATTGTTTCCGGCATCAACCAACGAGTCTCCAAACACAAAAGAGGTGAAAGAAAAACTGGGCACTACATGCGAGGAGAGAAGAATTAATATAATGAAGAAAACAGGATTTAGAATAATCTTGAGGGTCTTCATTTTTTCTTTCAAGTGCATTGTTACTTATTTTGCATGATTATATAAAATTGTAGCTTTGGCCTTTTGTCCTTGCAGATTATTTCATATCTTGCTTAGGGAAGCACAGTTTGCAGTGTCCTTGAGAGCAGGTAAAATTTTGAACTGGTCATGTAGCTAGGAAGGATTAGGTCAATTATGTGGTCCAGTAGAAAAGTTTACCTGAAAAAAGTTCAACAGAAAAATAAGGTTGCCCATGAAAGAAAAAACGTAATCTTACAAGCAATAATATTCAAAGGACTTGTTGAAGGGTTCAAAACAAGTTAAAAGTACCGAAGGTCTGAACACGCATCCTACCTTCAAACAAACCCTATATTTATAACTTTTAGATCTAACTAGTCTAGATGTAGATGATATACAGATCGGTGGAAACCTGTTTGCACCATTACCTGGTTGCGATTTCTTGAAGTCAAAATTCACCAATTTTTTACTTTATAATTTGTTTCTTAAACAATTATTTTTTTTGTTGTGTTTTGTTTGTTCCTGCAGTTTTCTTTTGTATATATATGATTTAGTTTTCTGAAAGAAAAATTAAGATTGAATAGTATAGTAGCTATTGCTCTTTAAAAGTAACAACATTTTGAGACATTCTATGCCCTCCCTTCTCTTTTCGGCATCTGTCTTAATCAAATATATAGCATATTGGGTTGTTTTCAAAAAATTTTTTTATATATAATATATTTTTAAAAATAGTCATTTTTATAATTTTGAATAAAATTATCTTTAATAAAATCGACTTATATGTTTAGATTTACGCTTCAAATCGATTCATATCCTTTAAGCTTTTCTTAACAGATCATTCATCATTAGAGTATTCTTTACTAAAAAGAAAAATCTTTAAACATTTTAAGCATTTTGGAATGGTTTTGATACACGAAGAAAAATCTTTGACCATTTTGAATATTTTTAAGCATTTTGAAGTGATTTTGATATATGAAAAAAACCTTTGAGTATGTTGTTAAATGAAATATGATACATTGTTTGAAGTTATTGATTTTGTTCAATGAAATTCAATAGTTTTGGTGGTTTTTAGGTATTGTGTAACTGATTTTTAGGTACTGCATAATCGATTTTTAAGTATTAAATGATTGATTTTTAGATATTACGTGACTAATTGATATGACATTGCGTGACTGGTTGGTAGGCAATGTGTGACCAATTACTAAAATATTGCATGAGTGATTAGAAAGGTATTACGTGACTAGCTTTTAAACAATATGTGACTTAGGTATTACCTAAAAATCAGTTAGGTTATACCTAAAAATCAGTAATACAATACTTAAAACCAACCACGCAATATCTAAAAATCAGAAAAATAATGATTAAGTCACGTAATGTCTAAAAATCAGTAATACAATGCCTAAAACTAGCCACACATATCTAAAAATCAGAGAAATAATGATTAAGTCATGTAATGTATAAAAATCAATCTTAAAATACCTAAAAACCAGTGGCACAATGTCTAAAAAGTAGTAATGCAATACTTAATAACTAAATGATTTGTCTGCTCTCAATCAAGTTTACATTACTAAAGTAATATAGTGTTTAATTTACAGATATGTCTAATCAATTTCAATTCTTTAATTTTGAAGTTTTATGAATAAATCAAAAAACTCAATAATCTAAAATACATATTTTGATGTCATCCCTACTTTTTGAAATGACGAGAAAGAACTGGATGACAAAATAGATAGTATTTAATAAGAGAGAGATATCGAGATTTAATTTTGAAATTTTTATTTAAATGACAGGATAAAAAAGACCAAAATTATTTTAATTTACCTGAAATTGTTTAAAAGATATTATTATCAAGTCATGTTAAAAATTGATTAAAAATAATTAAAATTATAATAAATGATATTTTTAAATTAGACTTATGAAAATAATTATTTCTCACAATTTTCTGTAAAATATTTATTCATATACGATAAACAGTCCTACGGTCCGAATTTCTAACATCTTTTTGTTACAAGCATATGTAGCATTATTTCACTCTTACTGACGAAAGTGCAGACTCCCAATATTATTGCGAGTATTTTAGTCTTCACAATTTATTTTAATTTCACTTAAAATCAAATATATATCACATATTATATTCATAAAAAATCAATATAAAATTAGACCAAACTTACATAGGATAATATTCGAATTTGAGACTTAGAGATTTTCAAATTTTTTCCTTTCCATTAAACAAAGCCTCATGGAAACTAGTTTTGACAATTAATTTATAGACCCTTGTAAAGCATCATCACACAAATTAAGATTTGGGTATTTTATCAACATTTAAGCATTCAAATCTTGCACGACCCCCTTATTTACACCTTCATCTAATAGGCTTGATAATTTAGATTTTAAAATAAAAGAATATACAACTCAATGCTGTCCAATTGAATAAATAGAACAATTAACCACTATCTTCTAAACAACATATATAATAACAGGAGTTTCGTATATCCCTTTTATTATAGTGCTATGCATGGCAAGCAGGTCCATTGATGGAGAATTATGGTCCTAACTAGAAGCAATTTTTTTGTTTTTTGAAAAGCAAAGGCACAATTAATTGATTCTGTCAGAACTAGAAAATCTAGATATGTATATATATATGTGTGTGTGTGTGTGTGTGTGTGTGGTGTATTTTGTTCGCAGCTTTTGGGGTCTAGAATCCACATAGCAATAGTTTATCTTAATATTTTGTCTTCGACAAAGGCTAATTAATATCCTAATAAGACATAAAATGTAGTATCTACTATATATTGTCTTTGACAAGTTAACGCCTGAATCTCACAGTCAAACTCAATTTTAGAGAATTGACAAACCTTTTTGTTACATCTCTATTTTCTTTGGTCGGAGACTTTCTTGAATTATTACATGTCAATATGCAATAGAATATTTTCTTTAATTTCACTTAAGGTGATGGATTTTTAATTGATCATTTATTTACTTTCATGTGTTTCATGTTGTATCTAATATCCACCATTTTTTAAGTATCTTTGATTAAGATAATTTTTGACAGTATCAAAGTATAAGGTAACTTGATAATTTTAAGTTTAAAGATCATTTAAAAAACTGCCATATAAGAATTTATTTACCAAATGAAATTCTTATATGAACTTATTCATGTAATAAACATCCATATGTTAGTTCAACCTGCATGTGAGGAATATAACTATGTGTCTATTTATCAGTATTTATTTCTTGATAAAATATTAATTAAGAATAATACTTTGAAACACTAAGTATATCATAATTATAATTTTTTAAAAAAAAGTATATCATAATTATAACACCTTATAATTTTACTTTTTTAGAAAAAAAAACACCATATAATTCCTTTTGCAAAACATAAAACATTTCATGAACTTTATATAATCTTGCAGATATCAATGATTTTATAAAAATAAGAAAATACCTTTTATTAATTACAAATACTTAAAATTATATAATGCATATCTTTAAACATCCAACCGATTGGCTTATAAAGCATACGTTGTTCTATCAACAAGATCATCTATTTGCCAGTTAAATCCGCAGGAAATTGTTGGTAATGCCCATTTGCATGTCAGCATCAAGATTATAACCATTTTAGGCCCATAGGAAGACACGAAAGATCGATGACATCAACCGTGTTTTAGATGAACAAGAAATTAAAGGTTCTGAAGGCTATAGCTCACCACGAATAGAGGCTCATTAAATCTGCTGATTGCTGTTCTTGAAACATCATAATCACAAGAAGTGATATCTCGGAAAACCGAATTAGTTTGGTAAAGCAAATTGCAAAACAGTGACCGGATATTAAGTTAATTAAACCAATTACAAGTACAAGGCTTTCGGAAAGATGCGACAGATATGACAGTGCCATTTTCTTAATTTCGTTGCATGCATCGCACCGTTGCCGCCCTAAATGCAACAGTAATCAATGATACTATATGACTAATAATTTAGCGGTTACAACCTTATTCTACTAGGAATTTTCCTCCTAGTTGTTAACTTAGTTTGAAAGTTAATTAATGATTTCACTTTGGGTATGTAATGTGTTTGGCAAGAGCGGGGACGAATGGAGATCATAAGCAGTTTATGTTGAAATCCTTTTGAATTAATTTTGGTCCCGAGTAACACGGTACCATACAAGACTTTTTTCCTTGAAAGAATGTGCAGCACGCTTGGTGGAAAATTTTCTGCCTCTCTGTTTCTCGTATGGACGCACCACATGTTTTTCGCAATTTAGCATAGGGGAGTTAATAAACTTGGTTAAGAGGAAGCATTGATCCTCATAAATATTAGGCGCACGATTACCAATTATATAGTCTTCCTTGCTGACATTACTTTAAGTAAATTACACTCAGCAAAATTAGACTGGACCAACAATCCAACCGAATAAAATGTAATTTGAATAAAACGCTTCAATTCAATTAGTCCATTGATTCTATTGGTTCAAAAAGTTTGATTCAATTGATTTATTTGATCGATTTTCGATCTTAAAATTTTTAAGCTAAACTGATCAAAATTAAGATCAAACTAATATTTTTTTTATATATTTTAAATTTGTATAAAATTATATTTTCCTATTACTAAGTTAATGATGTGCAATGGTTGATTATCTTGTGTTAGATGGTTTTATTTTGTAGACATTAATTTTATTAATTTTGTTATGTTAAATCTTGCATGTTAAAACATAGAGACTAAAACTTTTGAATGTTAACTTGATGGCTTATGGGCAAAATGAGTGAAAGGATAAATGCTATATTTTTTTATATTTAGATTATTGGTATATTTTATAACTATAGACGAAGTTTATAAATTTCAATGTTTGTAATTTATAAAAAAACAAAAATAATAAATTTTAGTTCTTTTGATTTAAAATTAAATCGATCGAACTAATTTAATGTTTGATCAATTTGATCATTCTTTAAATTTAATCAATTTTTTTAAAAAAAATATTTAATTCATTTGATCTTTAATTAGGATAAACCAAACTAAACGAATCCACCAATTGCTAACCCAAAAGCAAAGGAAGAAGAAACAAATAACTTAACATTAATTAGCCCCAAAGAAAGACGGTGGCGAGTGTCACTACCAAAGGGAATATGAAAGTCATGTGGAGAAGAAAGCATGCAATAAATACAAGAGGCTTTTGGACAAAGGAAAATTGTACATTTTGAAATAAAAAATAATAGTTACATTAATGATTCGCTTAAGCCTCCAGAACAAGGGATGAGTTGTGACATTGTGGATGAGAAAGAAGATAAACGGTGACTTACAATCGAATCTCCTGGTGGCAAGAAAGTGATTTTGTGCCCTTAGTTCTTTTATCTTTTCCTAATTCTTAATTAACCCCTGGATTTGAGAAAAAGGGGAGAAAAACACGTACATCTAATATAAAAAAATAAATTTATTTGAGGAGGTATGGGAAGAAAGCTTAAATTTAGGCTGAATATTTGGCTAAGGAGAAGAATTGTAACCACTCTTTCTTCCCCTGTAGGTTCAACCACCACCTACCCTTTTTTTTCCTTGGCCAACAAACGATGTTAAGTGAAACAATGAATTCATTTATCCGCACCTGTTAGTTTGTATCATGCTCTCTCTCTCTCTCGCCCATTAAGCTTTAAGAGAAGCTTCCCACACGATTCCATTTCATGACCAAAAAATTTGGGTATCAGGGTAGAGGTCAAGAAGGTCGCATATGGTGGAATAGCTCCGTCATCCATTTTCACAGAACTTATTGTAGGACCTATATACCCCTATACATATATATATATATATATATATATATATATATATATATTCCACCGTTGGCTTTCTATTTATGTTAGTGTAGGATTTACATATTATGAGAGAACAGAGACGAGGGATGAGATAGTTTTAGGCGGAGGCGCCTTAACTTGTTTCAGTCATTTCAAGTCTAAAAAGCCCAAGCAGCGGCTTACATTGTCCTTGTAACTCTTCCTCTCTGTCTCTCTCTTGACCTCTTTTAACTCTTTCTTCTTGGAGTGTAATCAGCTATTGAGGCAGGGTTGGGAAGAGGGGTTCTCTCAAATGGATGTAATGTGCAAAATCAGATCGGTCTTAACATTAATAGGAGGAGTTCTGAACAAGGCTGTGAGCTTCATTGTCTTCTGTTTTCTTGACCTTGTTGATTTCATTCTATGCTTTGTTTACAAAGTGGTTGACTTCTGCATTGAAGCTGAATGGAAGCCTTGTTACTGCTCCTCTGCTAAAGAAGCCATCACTGGCAGCGGCAAGATCTTAGTCTCGGAACAGGGCGAGTCCAAGATTGTTTGCCTCACTCCAAGCAAGTTACAGCTGGAGGACATTTCAGATACCCTCTATTCACGTCCTTCTCTTGTGACCGAGGTCTCAAAGCTGACCGTCAATGAGCTAAAGAAGCTCAAATTGGATGGCACCATCATACAATCTTGCGAGAAGACCAAGAAAGGAACAGTGCGATCAACGTTCACCATTAACTCTACCATTGTGGAAATGCTTCAGGGCAAGATGGTTGGGCAGCAATTGCATCCCATTCCTAGATGGTCTGATTGCGATTGTAAACTCTGTAATTCTTGGACCTCTTCTAGCAAAGACACCCTTTTTGTTAAAGCTCAGGGACCAAAAGGTAAATGGAGTTCTACCAAGTATTAGCCAAAAATAAGATTAAATAACTATCATCATATTCATATTAACCTTTCATTTATTACATTCAGTTTTTTGAAGCTTGCTATTGGATTTGTGATGTCAGATAAAGCACGAGAAGATGTGTTATTCATTCATGGTTTCATTTCATCATCAGCATTTTGGACTGAAACTTTATTTCCCAACTTTTCAAGCACTGCTAAATCAACTTATCGGTTGTTGGCAGTTGATCTACTGGGTTTTGGAAGAAGTCCTAAGCCAACAGACTCCCTTTACACCTTAAGAGAACATGTGGACATGATCGAAAAGTCCGTGCTCGAAGCATACAAAGTTAAATCTTTCCACATTGTGGCTCATTCCTTAGGCTGCATCTTAGCCCTTGCTATAGCTGTAAAACACCCTGGATCTGTCAAGTCCCTCACCTTACTTGCACCGGTAATTTTTTTTTTACCAATCTTCCTTTCTTAGACAAGAACTTTTTTCATTGCAGCCAAGAATTAGTCTAACAAGTTATATATGCATGAATATGGCAGCCATATTATCCAGTGCCGAAGGGTGAACCAGCAACGCAATATGTTATGCGAAAAGTAGCACCCCGACGAGTGTGGCCGGTGATGGCTTTTTGTGCATCCATTGGTTGCTGGTACGAGCACATCACCCGGACGGTTTGCCTGGTCATATGCAAGAACCACCGGCTGTGGGAATTTCTCACCAAACTTATCACCAGAAACAGGTAATAATTTCGTCAATCCTAATTTTTGCACCTCCTCATCATCAAGTCGTGTCTACCCAAACAACCTTAACTATAATCCCATACACTAAACCATGTAATTGTCGTCTTTGACTGTCCGACTTTCACAATCAGCTCCTTTTTGGGCTCTCTTTGGTGTTTGTAAATATATACCAAAACTACTAATCAATCTAGTTTTGCACGTTCGGATAATATTAGTACTCTAGAGTCACCTTTTATAGGTTGTTTGCCTGAAATAACCAACTTTGTTACTCCCCTTAACTTTTTTTTTTATGCAAAAAAAATTCAAATTCAAATTCAAGCTCTTTGTTTCAACCAAAACATTAAAATTACAATGACCACTCGTAATTTTTCATCCACCCAACCACATTTATCCCTGCACAGCTACCCCTATCGGATGGAGTACTATCTAATGAATGCAAATGGCGGGGGTATATATACCACACCGTCCAAAATACAAATTATGGTGAAAGAGGTTTGTCTATTTCAGCCATGTACTTACAGTTGTCCCCTGCAAATCTTTCGAGTGGTCTCAAAATGCAGGGAGGGCGAAAAATTTTAGCAGCAACAGATCAATTGTCCTATTCCCGTACCAATTGAATACATATATATATATATATATATATATATATATTAGCAATAGAATTTTCCTATATATTTCTATACCACTTGAAGGCGCTCCTAGTCAATTTGTTAGATCAAAATTATTTTCTAAATACAAGACCAAGCTACTTTTATTTTTTTTTTCAAACTTTTGAGCCAAAAATTAGTAAATGTAAAAGAACTTGTAATAAGATGCCTTCCTCCTTCCTCTAAATGTATGCATTAATTATCAATTGATTAAAAGAAAAAATGATCCTGTCCTACATTTAAAGAGAGGAAAAAATTATGAAAACAGAGAGAAAATTAAAAGATAGCAGTATTTAAGCATTTAACTGAATAATTGATATACAAATCCCTTTCTCTTATTCAAAGAGTTAGATTTTAATTTTTTTCAAATAAAAAAAAATCTTTAAAGCAACCAACGAATGGTGTTTAAAGCAAGGGTTAATTGGCATTTACATTTCAAAAAAACAAATGGTATTTAAACTTTGTCCGTCAATGGCTGGGTGAACGCAAGTCAAATGTAGTTCAGAATGAAGTCCCAAATGATGGAGACAGACGATTAATGCAAGAAATGAGTTTGGTTTTCTGCATTTATTACTTCCTGCTGTCCCCTCTGGAAACCCATTCATTTATACTATAGTTCTTGACGCTGACCTTCATGTGCCAAAGTCGCTTGAATTTTAATGCAATTTTATATATATATATATATATTTTTGTCATTTTTCCAGGATCAGGACTTTTTTGCTTGAAGGGTTCTTCTGCCACACCCATAACGCCGCCTGGCATACTCTTCACAACATTATTTGTGGCACCGCCAGCAAGCTCGACCGCTATCTGGACGCCGTCCGCGACCGGGTAAAATGCGACGTTACCATATTCCACGGCAAAGACGACGAAGTAATCCCGCTGGAATGTAGCTACAATGTTCAAAGAAGAATCCCTCGTGCTCGAGTTAAGGTTGTCGAAAACAAAGATCACATTACAATCGTTGTGGGTAGACAAAAGGCGTTTGCCAGGGAGCTTGAGGAGATTTGGAAGCGATCAGGCAGTGATTAAGACCTTTAATTACACTCTGCTTTTCTGGGCCAAATTATAATTAAGAGCAGAAAAATAACAGTGTTAAATCTGCATGTCCAATTGTCAAGTGGGTAAATATGGCATTAGATTCAGATTGCGGGGTTTTCTGTTTAATTCCTCAAAAGATCTGTCAAAGTCAATATTTTAGGCCATGTGAGATCGTTGCCCTCTTATTCGATCGGGTTGTGAAATGCATAATTAATTGTAATCATATGAATTTTTATAAGAAACACAAGTGTCATAGTAAACATCTGCCAATTAAATACTTCCTTTTCTTTATTATTATCTTATAAATTAATCTCTTCAGATTTCGCATTGTCAAAATGATAAGTAAAATTTGTTTTTGAGTTTTCAATTATCATCAACTATTAAACTTTGGATACATTGAGTACTTCTTCTATCAATATCAAACAATAAATTCAACATTAACAATAATAATAATAATAATATATATGCGTGTATATGGAGGAAAGTTTGAAATACATAATAATAATTAATTTTCTTTTATCCCAAATTATATCTTTAAATTTTAATTTTCAAGATTCAAATTTCTTATCCATTTTAAAATCTCATATCAAGATCTTTTTAGTTTTTATTTAATGTATTATCAATATATAATTTATATATTATCAATTAATCATGTCTTCACATTCTAATAAAATTAACATTTATAAACAGAGATTTAAATTTTTTTTATAAAACGATTGAGTTGCAATTCTTTAAAAATATATATTAACACCAACAACATAATAAATATAAACTCTTATTTATAAAACATATCCCTAGAAACAAATTAATGTGCATAGCCAGCCCATGTGGTTGAACTGATGAGGCAATAAATCAGTGTCGTGTTAGGCTACTGAACTTCAGTAGAATTTATAGTGGTACCATGATAATCAATAAATGTAAATTAATCTTCTTGACCAAAAAAGTTATACTATTTCTTTAAACGGCGTCAGTATATTGGTTCCGTACAGGATTAGATCTTATCAGTTTGGGGAGACTCTTCCTCCTCAATCAAGAAACCTTAACACCGTTTGATGGAAAAGAAATACAGATTAGATGCCATGTTGATGGTTGGCCATGGACCGAATTTTAAGGTATTCTAAAATTGGGAAAAAGAAGCAACCAGTGAAGTAAGTCCAAAACATTAACTATTTATTGGAACAGCACAGAGCAAACGTGGGGTCGTGTCGTGTCCCACTGCACATCAGAAGATTGTCGGCTGTCCAACTTCCTTGTCCATGGGGCAATCGTCCTCTTCTCTCCTCTACTCCACAGTACCCTTGGTCTATCATTTATTTCTATTGACTTCTCCGTAGTTGCTGTTTGATCAGTGATCTCTTGCTGCCTTGGCTGTAATCAGTAAAGGTGTAGTAGAATACCTCACGTGGCCTATAATCTTTCGATGAAGACCCGAAAAATAAATATTAAACAGAAAAAGAAATGTTATTAATGGAGATATATCTCCCAAGATTTTTGTTAATAATAATTCTCTTGTTTAACTCTATATTTCAGATCCGAGCAATGCAACAGTTTTACGAGCCCGCAACAGTACAAGTAAAAATTGATAAACTTAAATTAGTCCAATATCGACTCATAGCACAAAACCCAGGCTTTCTTGAACTCGAATCAACGTCCAATAATTAAATAATTGATTGATCCAAGTAGTAATTGTTGTCTTGTTAACAAGCTAGATACTATTCCAAAAAATACATTTCTAACTTTTCTCACCGCTTGTGCGAAAATTCAATGTTCTTATTAAAGTTTTGATGATTTCCAATTCTTAACCAAGTTTTTGTTACATATATGTGTTTCTTTTGTACAACATATTTGAAGGAGTGGAGGTTTTGTGTGAAGAAATTTCCTGAATTGGTTAGGGCTGACTACCTACTTTGACAGTGGTGTTGTTCTAAAGGACCAGTGCACTCCTTTTTTTTTTTTTGCACAAAACTGGCTGCAGAGTGGTTTCCTGTTGTCTAACTTAGAAATTTTGGTAGATTACGTATTAAATCTAGATTTTGTCCACACGCCTTGTGCTCGTGTAGGTTGGTGAAAGAAACAACCTAACAATTGCTAGCTGTAAGATTTTAGCTAATCAGAGAGCATCCCCTTCATTTCCTTTTCTTTTTTGTGCTGTTAGTAGTTATAAGATGATTCCTAGTTTTTCATTGATTATTACAACCTTTTGTCAAAAATTTCTTTAGACATTAATTCAAGTCTTCGTCATCCTAGTTATTATGGGTACTCATACTGGTTGTTGACAGCAATTAACCCTGGTTGTTGAGTACTAAATATGTGGTCTATCGGGGGAATTAATTATATAGGCAAACGAGTTTATAAAGAAACATATCTATCGTCATAAGCCAAGGATTTATATTTGTGAAATAATAGATGCATTGCCAAAAGAAAAGACGAAGGCCCAACCAACTAGCTAGCTTGGGTTCCAGAGGCCCAGTATTGCAAAACAATTTTCAATCGAAACTTGAGTCTAAGCCAGAAGTGGCACAGATAGGCCCATCTTGGACCAAGAGGCCAGAAAGCGCAATTGAAAATTAATTATAACACAGCTAGCAGAAGAATTGGATGAGCTTAAACTTATTTAATTAGCATGAACTAGAACTGATTAATATCAATTCCCTTACACCCTTTTTAGTTGGTCTCTTCCATATAACAAGTATTCTGTAGTTGAAAACACTAAAGAGATGGAATTGAAAGATAGTAAAAGCAGGCAGGAAAAAAAAAAACAAAAGGTATCAGTATCCCTAATCTCTGTTGGATTGTCACATGCCAAAATGGGGTGAGAGATAATCAAGTGCTCTCAATCACACAATAAAAGATGGAAGGAATGACTGTTGATAACAATAAAGATAGCATGCATGGTAGGATAATCAGAAAGTCTGCCTTCGATAAGCAACCTAAAACCCTAGCAATGCAATATATGCGTTGAGCTACAGAAAATCAAATGCAAACAAGATGGCCCTTTCCATTATTTCTTAAAGCAAGAATTGTAGAAGCGAGACTTTGACAGATTAAGACCTCTTAATCAATATAAACTATAAACACGCTTAGAGAAATTCTGTGGTACTAGTTAATCTAGATTGGAAACGTATCCTACGGCCTAACTTACTATCTCGTTCTTTACATAAGCTAGAGGATAAGCAAAATATTGTCAAAGTTTGATCCTGTCTACAAAAGTAAAACATAAACAGTGTTGCTCGCGCGTTGCTATGATTTATTTAAATATTTATATAATAAAAAATAAAATATCGGTGGATTTTTTTTAAAGGAAACATTATATGGTGGAGTTAGCCATAAATATTGAATGTTTTGTTAACTATTTTTAAGCAAATATCGTTGTATAATGAAATTTAGAGTTAGTATAAAATGTCATATAAATAAACAAATTGTTTCTAAAATAAAAACATATAAATAAATTGATTGTCACATTTGAACTACGACTATTAGTTTTCATATATTACATAAAAAATACAAAATATTATTATCAATTTGGCATTGCATCATTTAAATTGTTAAATATTATTCATGGTACTTGCTAAAATCCAATCATGGTAATTCTGGTCTATACTTTTGGAATTCACTTGTCCAAACTTGTAATGTAGTTAAAATCATTTATGTATTGAATCAAATTATTAGATATACTCTGATGTTTACATTGTCTGTTCTAGGTACATTAATATCACATTATTTAGCGTCATGAGATGATATTGATATTTCATATAATTTTTTTAACAAATTGAGCCATAAAGGACATAAAAAGAAATGAAAAAAGACATTGCCATGGGAAAATTTTGGTTTATTGAATAATTATAATTTTGTGTCATGTAGCAATTACTGATTTGTTTCCAGGACAGGGCACTCAGTCCGGCCCATAAACAAGTAACGCCCTCATTCGGTAGGCGTGAATTGTTGACACAAGAATAAAGAAATAAATAGAGACAACACACCTGCGACAAAAACTTAATTACTCCTATAACAGTGAAATTGGGTACATGTGAATACTCTCTATTTTTCCGTTTCACTAGTGTACATTATTAGGTATAGTAAACTAGGCATTTGTTTTTTTAAGTAAACTTTATGATCTCCATCTTTTGTCATATTAATTTTCGTCATAGGTCATTATATTGTTTTTTATTAATTAATATTCTGTAAATATATTTTTTCAATTATAATTTTGTTAATAATTTTTGCTTTCATAGGGAGTTACATTATTAATTTTATCCAGCAAAATTATCAAAATATTTTTAATTTAAATTAGTTAATCTAATTATTTACATTTAAGAGTAATTTTACAATTTTATTAAACAAAATTAATAGTTTAATGTCTTGTGAGAACAAAAATTATGCACAGGATACTAATTGATAAAAATGATATTTCTAAAATATTATTGAAAAAAAACTATAAATATAATGTAAAATTTTAAAATTACAAAAATGTAAATAGAGTTATTTTTTTAAAAAAAATATAAAACAGATATTTAAAGTTAAATTAATCAGCAATATTTAATAATTAAAAAAGGCTTATTTTTAAAGATCAAGGGTAGGGTGGTGCAGTAAACAAAAAGGCTTGCTGTTCTGGCCAGGTAATTGATCGATTCTACTAATTGTGTACGTTAAGTGTGCTCTACCAAAATACCAATATATATGTTATGTTTTAATTGTAATATGCAACGAAATATACTAAGACCTAAGAACATATATATATATCAAATGCTTCATCGCCACTTAGTGCACAATCCAGGGACATGTCGCAAAGAATATTGATACAAAAAAAAGAACAAAACCAAGACTAATGCATTCACTTAAAAGGAAAAAATGAACAGGAAAGAAGGAAAAGAAGAGTAACAAGTAGTAATGTTACATTTATGAGGCTTCAAGATAATCCATACAAAGAAAGAAAAACAAAGGACCGCGTCACAAGTCAAAATCATACAATGAGCTGCTAGCTAGTTCAATCTACATCTCTGAAGGATAGCAGTCTTCAGCGCCTCCTCGCTTATCAATCCAGTAGGAGCTCCGATAACAACATCTTGACGCACCAGCTCCTTCACGTTTGATATGCTGGCATGATGAACATGAAGCTCTTGGTCTCTGAGAGCATCCATAAATCTTGCAGCTGGGTCATTGACATCTGGACATTGAACTCGGATCATGGTTTCT